CTTTGGATGCATATAGAATGCATATAGCAGTCAATCTGTTTTTTCACTTCAGCAGGTGGGTATTGTAGTTTTAAGCACCTACAAGATCTCTATCAAGCATTCTTAAAGCTACAATACTCACCTGCTGAAGTGAAAAAACAGATTGACTGCTATATGCATTCTATATGCATCCAAAGAAGTGGGCTGTAGCCCACGAAAGCTTATGCTCTAATAAATTTGTTAGTCTCTAAGGTGCCACAAGTACTCCTGTTCTTTTAACAATTTCAAAATACTAGGAGCTATACGCAAACAGTTTAAATACATGTGAAGGTGAGACATATTTTTTCTCTGTGGTTCTCTTATATTCAGAAGAGTTCGTAAGTGAGAATACTAGAATAATGTAAAATATTGGGCCAGCTACTCAAATACTGAAGAAACAAGCAAGGGTTTGTTTTGTTTGAAGGAGAGGAAGAGGGAGGGGGCACTACTGGACAGGGCTACGTTGTTTCTTCTTCTGTTTGCTCTTGCAGAAAACGTGATAGAAGAGAGAGGGCATAAAGGGCATTTTCTATGTAAAACGTAGATGATTATTTATAAATTTCATCACAGCATGCATCTTCATATGTAGAAAATGTCATCTGCTACCCTTCCATATGTTCTGCTTCATGTGAAAAGGGCATGTGGATCACCAAGGTTTTGCAGCTTTTTAGAATGCACCATCCCTTGGGACTAGAGAGCTGGTGTCTGTGTGGATGTGATGGACTTTGGGCGTGCAGTTTTATTCAGACCACAAAATTAGTTCCTTTATTAGAGAGACTAAATGCCATTCCAGGAAGTGCAGAAAAATAATTAGTGAGCACCATACATCAGCTGCATTCTTATACATTGCAGATCGAGCTCCATATCCAACAAGACGCTAGGTATTGCTAGAGATTAGAGATGTATTACCTCTGTCTTAAGCCTGCCTCTACCTCTTCCTTTCCTCCATGCTCCCCAGTACTCTGCTTCCCCTAAATCTAGAATTCTGGATTATAAACGCAAACCCAGAAACGTTCCCCTAGAACAGGGGTAGGCAACCTTTCAGAAGTGGTGTGCCAAGTCTTCATTTATTCACTTTAATTTAAGGTTTTGCGTGCCGGTAATACATTTTAACGTTTTTTAGAAGGTCTCTCTCTATAAGTCTATAT